TCTCTCTCCCTTACCTAAAATGTACCATTTTTCTTTATCTCTATTCTCCATTCTCACCTCAACACCTATCTCTAGCGCGTGATTTTCTCACATTTCAATGCATATTATATTTAGTTCATCACTTGCTGTTGAATAATATTTATGTCAAAATTCAAATGGGTCAAAGATTTACAAATAGTCATAATTTTTAAAATCACATAACAATTTATTAAACATTAATTTTCACTTAAAATTACCGAGAATGTGTTTACTCGTAGAGAGTTATAAAATAAAGATACGTTGAAAATCTGTTATAAAAAGAATTCAATTAGTACTAATAATCTCTAACTACCTTTAAATGAAAAGGAGTGAAAGCAACGAGTAAAGAAGCGCGTGGAGAGTGAGGTTTGAGAAGGGTTATATGGATAAGGTCGATCGAAGTGGTGACATGGCAATGGGCACGAGTTGAATTGTTAATAAACGGAACGGAATGATGATAAACGGAATGCGCGGCGCCCACTGAGTTGAACAATGTGAAATTAGAAATTTGAAAGAAGGAAGGAAGGCATTGTTTGTTTGGTTGCCTTGTTTTAAGGGAAACGTGGCCCCAGCTTCACCCTTTTCTGTCTGCCTTTCTCTTCACCCAAACAGACACTAGTTCCTCTTTTTGGGTAAAACCTTCTCCACTACTAATTAAATGCATATTCCTTTCGTATTTCTTTTTCATCACATTCTTATCACCATTCTTAAGATGTTAAATTTTTTTTTTAGTTTTCCTTTTTACTCAAAAATCTCAATTATTTTTTTTCTATATATTCCAATTTGATTTTTATTTTGATAAATTTGATGGAATTAGGTTTTTTACATTCGTATTTCTTTTTCTATCACGTTCTTATCACCATTCTTAATCAAATCTTAATAAGGTTAAATTATGTTTTTAGTTTTCATTTTTATTCAAAAATCTCAATTAATTTTTTTTTATATATTTCAATTTGATTCTTATTTTGGTAAATTTAGTGTAAAGATGTATTTCTTAACTTTTTTTTTCAATTTTTAATTAGTTTATCTTTTCAAAAAATTTAATTTTGTTTTTGTTTTCTCTACTTATCTTTTATCTCATTTCAGTCATATTTTCTTTTAAATTAAACAAGTTAATTTAACTTTTATAAGAATAAAAATGTTATACAAATATTTTTACCAGAATTAAATTTAAAATACGGACAACCACGTGAGATAAAATGACAACAACTTCTTTCACTAACGCAATAGTCTCTAATTTTGTTAATATAATACTAAAGGAAAATATGTAATTTATTAAAAATTTTAAAATAGAAAGAAGATGGAATTGCATAAAAAAATAAAGAAAAATATCTAATTGAGATTTTTTAACAAATGAAGGTTAAGAACATAATTTAAGCTTTTAATTATCAGAGTCGGTTTTGATATAACAATTAAGTAAACTATTTATCGATTCATTAGCTATTAGCTTTTCCGTAAAGCAAGTGAATACTTTAAAAATATTTGTTTTCTTATAACCCTCACTGATTTATTATGATATACAACATCCTTGAATATTGCTTCACTCATTTAACAATATATATTATTTCTTTGAAAAGATTGTTCCATGGGAAAATATATATCTTTCTCTCAAGCTTAGTTTTATTATAGCAAGTGATGTTATCTAGAGATAACTCTGTTTGAGGTTTCCTCATATACCGTACAGAATTTATATTGTGATTAGTTATTTGTGGAGAAATAGTCTCTTTTGTAAAACTCGATTCTTATTAGTATTATGCATTTGATAGATTTGACTTTTCTTTTAAAATACACTTAAGAAAATAAAGTGAGGTTGGTTAAGAAATTGGCGATTAAAAATGAATATATATATATAGATAGATAATAAATTCAAAATGAAAAACTATCTTAATCTTTAATTTTTAATTAATAATCATTAATATTATTTATTGTCGTAAAGAACAACTTGAAACAATTTACTATTATCACTTATACCAACAAATTATATTTATTTTTACTGATAGTAAAAGGTTTTTAAAAGTAATTGATGATGATTAATTTTTTTATTGGAGCTAGTGAAAATATACATGTGGAAATGTTTGTTTACATTTTTATTACATTAAAATAATATAATTTTAAAAACATACAATTTTATTTATTTTATGAATAATGAATTAAAATTATGAAAAAATATTTTTAAAAAATATATATAATTTTGCAAACGTAATATAAAAAAAACTATGAACTGATTATTTTTAGAAAAAAAATTTATTAAATTATTTTGAAAAAAGGAGAATTTATTTAGTTATTTATTTTATTTATTAAAAGGTAAAATTATCTAAGTAAAAAATATAATAAAGTTACTCAAAAAATATACCGGACTATATATAATAAATGATTTTTTCTTGTAGGCAGATTTTAATAATATACGAGCAGTACAAGAGACATACAAGTACAACATTAAAAAGAACAGTAAAATTTGAAACAAGGTGATTATGTGTTTAACGTCGTGGAAACTGTAGAACATCCATTGCAAAAGGTATATACATAAAGTAAAAGTTCCAACAACTATGTACTAAACACTCAGAATAATTCCAATGTCTTGAAATATGTCTTCTACCACACCAAATTTCAAATTAAACAAAATAGAGGCACCAACGTGCAATATTTAAGAACTGTAGCTTTGTATTCTTCCCAAAGAGAATTGTATAGCTCTTCCTAATAGAGATACCAGTTAGAACTGCATGCGTATCGTCTAAATCTTGGAAGAACATTAATATTTTTATTTTATTTTTAAGTTTCCTCTTTAAGAAGTAATATAGTTGAAATGTTGTTTCGGATCCCTATATGGTCAAAAATTAGATTTGATTGACCTATATTTGATTTTTTTTTTTAAATCAGCAAACAAATAAATATGTGTATATATAAAATGTACAAGAGTTACCAATAATATTATACATGAATTTTGTAGTATATGGTAAGGTACTTTACACTTAACTTATATTGCATATTGAAAGATATTGTGATGGAATAAAATTTTGATAGGAGATGGGTTAACCTGACTCAAATAACTTTCTTTTTTATAACTTCAACCTAGGTCGTTTGGTGGGTTAAATTTCTTTATAATGTTTTATTTACCTAATTTATTCTATATATTTATTATTGTAATATAATTAGAGTGAATTAACTCAACTAATATAATACATTAAAAATTTACCTATTTTATAAAAAAATGTTATAAAAATAATAGTTGAAATAAAATATCAACTTATATAATAAAAAAATTAAATATTAAAACATTATTAAACAATATTTTAGTTTTTATAAATATCAAATTGTTTTTAACATCTTTAATATTTGTGGATGCAGAGACCTTTATGTGTTATTATTTTATATAGATATTTTTGCTAGAAAACGTATTTCTTATTGCTTGATGTGTATCAAATTTATATGTAAGATCAATCAATATTATTTTTTCAGAATAGTTATTCTAGCTTTTTTTTACAGAGATTAAATTAATTATGTTTTTTAAACTTGTCTATTTATATTTCTTGAAAAGAACTAAAATAAAATAAAATATTTCCATTCAATTAATAGATTAAAACCATATTTAAATTTAATAAAAATTACATAAGTATTCCGACATTAAATATCTCTTTTAACATTATCTTAATTTACTATGTTATACAAATATTTTTCTACCAGTTTCATTTCATTCCAATTAATAATTAACTAATGTCAAAAATAAATGATGGATTTGGTCTTTAAAATTGTATTTTGTTATGACATAAAAAAAATCATAATTTTTTGCATTTTTTGTATCTCTAAAATCAACTAAATATTTAGGTAATAATAATAATAATAATAGTAATAATGACTTATATTTAGGGATTAAGATAAAAACAATAATTCGAAATACTTAAATAAAATCTTATGTTTGAGTTGAAAGAATTCATATAATATTAGGATAAGATATATTTTGATCATATACTTTAAATTTATTGGTTGAACACTCACTTGTGATCTATAGGCACAATGGAGGCATTCCATTCCCCCATGTCTAGGGATTGATTTTGATCCACATACATGGTCAATTCCAAAGGGCTCTTATCCACATATTCATAAAAGAGTCTATATATTACGAGAAGATACTCCTATCAAACAAACACATTAATGTTTAAGGAATGGAATACATGGTGAAGGATACCGATATAACAATGCATGCACGTGTTTTTGTTGTAGATCCATGGAAAGTCTGATTAAGATTTTGGGCATGATTCTATGAATTTCACTTAGGATATTTATCATTAAGATGAATATTTAAGTCTAACTCAACTCTACAAAACCGGTTTGTAAGGTAATATTTACATCTATTTATATACTATAAATTGATTTTATCTCTAATTAATGTGAGATTTCTAACACTTCCTCACGCTGAGTTAGAGTAAGTTAGAGTTAGAATCTATCATATGGATGTTTGTTGGACATGTTATTCCACCCGTCGTCGAGTCAGGATTACTCATTAATGTTTAGTCTCACACTCAAAATATATTTACCTCCACGTAAGGTGTATTCAAAATCCTACATTGACTATATATAAATTTAATTTATAATATATAAACGAATGTAAACATCACTTTACTCATCAATATGGAGTTGAATTAGAATTAAGGTTATTTTTAATATTTATCATCAGTTTTATATATAAGACATATATGTTTCAGCTGGTCACAAAAATGGCATCACGTGAAAAGTAAACCAGAAGCACTCTTACATTCTTTACTCCGTGCTCGGTTGTCTCAAACTTCAGAGAGTGACGGTAATGGGAGGAAAACAATAGAAATGGAAAAGGGAAAAGTGAAAATGAGAGGTTTATGCTATGAGATAGGTTTGGGAAGATGTGGGGTTCCTTAATAATGACAACATTGAATGCAGTTGCAGTTTCCATACCTGCCTCTCCACTCTTTCCTTTAATGCCCTACATGCCTACCCTATCACCACTACCAACTAGTATAACATACTCTTCAAAACCTACCAACACACATAAAAACAAAGCTTTTGTTCATAAGAAATAGTATACAAACAAGGATGGAGAAAACAAATGTTGTGGAAGGTTCAAGATCTCCCATGCAGATGAAGATGGGAGATGAGTTGGAAGGCAACACCAACACCCTTCGCACTGCCGAAACCTTCCTGCGGTTGCTTCCTGTTGCTCTTTGTGTTTCTGCACTCGTTCTCATGCTTAAGAACTCTCAGCAAAATCAATATGGTTCTGTTGATTACACTGACCTTGGAGCTTTCAAGTATGTATATGTTACCTAGTACAGGAAATATATGTCCTTTTTCTTCAAGTTCTTAGAATGCTTTTTAACATATAAGAGATCAAGGGAGACACAAATAAGATGAAATAATGGTATACTTGCTGTGAAACTGTTTGCATCTCCTAACTCTGTCCCTACTGTTGCATTGGTCATCAATTTTATTCTCAGAATTGCCAATTAATCAATCTGTTAACGATTAAAAGTACAGATTAATTAATTCTTAATCAGGGGCACTTCTTTAAAGTTAGTTCTTCAACTCTCTAACTATGTTTTGAAATTGGACTACAGTGTTGTATCAGTGAAGATGCTGATTCAAACTAGGTTTATTTATTGATTCAACTGTTAACTAAATTGTAAATTGATCTGATATTCATACGATAATGTTAATAATTATGTATAGAATAATATAAAAAAAATGTAATACCTTAATCTAATAGTACTAAAAAAAATAACACATTTAATAGGTTTTAATATATTCAAAATACACATAAAAATAAAATATTGGTAGACATTTTCTAATAATATATATACCGACAGATTAGTTAGAAACACTCATGTTTGGATAGTTGATTTTTGAGCTCAGATTGTGTAAGATGAATCTAAATTAGTTTTGGTTTTAGGCTCAAATATTGAAACTGCTATAATGTTAACATACAAAATAACCCTTATTAATTTTGTGCATATTAGTTATTGTGAAATTTTTAGATCTGAATCAGAATATATACGAAAAGGATGACAAAGATTCGTATTGGTTGATGGGTTTTTTATATTGCAGGTATCTGGTGCATGCGAATGGCATTTGCGCAGGTTACTCTCTATTTTCAGCTGTTATTGCTGCTATGCCACGACCTTCTACTATGCCTCGTGCTTGGACTTTCTTTTTGCTTGATCAGGTCATCACATCTCACTCATTCTTAATTTCTTCCTGCAATAAAGTGTTAGCTACGTCACTAAAGAGATTATAAATGTTCCAAATAATGATGGTCAAATAGAACTAGATGGAATATCTCTGCCACCACAATAACAAAGGATGTGATTGTGGTCGTGGCTTCATCGACAATGGTGCTGTTATTTGACACTCTTTTAACTTGTGTAAATATTCTCAGCATTGCTTCAGTTTAAGTGGCACCAGTAATCCAAGCCTGTGAATAAAAAAGTACAGATAAGGATTAAATTTAAGCTTTCAAAATGAAGTTCAAACTTATGAAAAAGCAATATTTGTAGCCTAAACCAGAATCAAATTTGAGTTTTTAAAACTTTAAGTCTCACATAATCAGAACTAGCAAATGGGCAGTTAAACCAAAACACCACTTTATCTTCTGGCATGCTTTGCATCATTCATTGACCTGTTTTGCCACTTGGTATTACTTTTGAAAATCCAAGTACGAGATCAAGTCTCCTGAATAAAAATGGATAAAAATAAAAAAGTAAAATATTATATAATAAAAAAAGTAGAGTGAGTTTTAGACAAAAAAAATGATGTCAATTTTTTTATAAACTTTTTTTTAAACATAAAAAAAATATTAAATTCTTAAAATATATTATTAGACTTCATGCTAGTCCATCTCGACGTTACCTTTTGGAAAATCCATCTCGACCTTTTGAATAGACTTGTGTCGACTTTCAGCAAAATCAGACATAATTAATCTTCGGTTTGAACCAATCCTTCTCAATTTTCGATTTAAGCCAACCTATTTCAAACTTTAGTCCGTTAAAGTTAGAATCAACTTTCCCGGATCGTTTAAACTTTTGGACTGGGTTTATGATGTTAATCCTAATGTTAACTATGCATATACTGAAAACGTTTTGAATTTGCATTGGTAGGTGCTAACATACATAGTTCTAGCTGCTGGAGCAGTGTCAACTGAGGTTTTGTACCTAGCTGAGAATGGCAACACTGCCACAACATGGAGCTCAGCTTGTGGATCATTTGGTCGATTCTGTAACAAGGTGACAGCATCAATTACGATCACATTTGTGGCAGTGCTTTGCTATGTGTTGCTTTCTCTCATTTCCTCTTACAAGCTCTTCACCAAGTATGATGCACCAGCAGCATGCAGACCAACTTCACCCATTGAGGTTGCTGCTTTCCCTGGCTAAATCAACCCTTATGTATAACAGTGTGCTTCATGCATGTGTCTGCTTAATTACTTCCAATCAATAATGTAATGACATGCTGTTGTGTTAATTAGGACCTTAATTGTGAGTTTATAATTAATATATAACCTTTGACCTCCTTAACACTGTGCATCTGCCTTTGGCTTGTTTTGCTGGTGCTTGATTTTACCTTAAGTACAAACTTTGCTTCCACCTTCTTTTTTAAAAGTGTTTTTGTGAAGTTATAGAGGGATCAGTTGATGATCTTTAGTTTAAGAACATGTTCTTTAAATATATTATTATTTTTTAACTATAATTTGTTATTTATGAAATGTAGTAAACATTTTGAACTCTGAGAAAAATATATATTTTGGAATGTTTTGTATATGATTGATGAATTGCTCGCATGGTAAACAAATGTGTGATGAATTTATTTTGTAGTCATGTTATGGCAAGAACGGGTTACACAATTAACAATGACAATAAGATAAATCTTTTGTGAAAGATTAATAAGATGTATTTAACTTCGTGTTCAGCAAAAGTTGATAGATTTAAGTATAATCCTAAAAAACTTCCTTAGAAAAAGTTAAATTTACTTTCTAATTTATTTATTTAAAATAAGATATTTTACGAATAAATTGATATTATTTTACCTAGATGGTTTTAGTTTATATAAAATTCAAAAAAGTTAAACGTTAAATTAATGTACATATAATAATTAGTATTATCTTAGATTTTTTGTAATGCATTAAAATCATATATTTATTTATCTTTCTTGATTTCTAATCATGCTGGCCTTTATAAGATGCCAACTTTATAATACACAAAGATAACTTTATACATTGTTTAAAGGTTTTATCTTCACAAAATAATTTTTCAAATAAGAAATTTATGCTATTTTTATTGCTATAAAATTTGAACACTAAAAATGATAAATGAGTTAATTATGTAGTAAAATAAATGTTTTAAAAATCTAAGTCCTTATGTATTATTTTACAACAAAATGGTTTTAAAATTATTATCTAACTTCAAAACTTTAATATCCTAAATTAATATAAAAATTATATATTTTATTTGACAAATTTTTGACCACATATATAATGCTTAATAAAAATAAAAATAAGACAGTACACTGTATGTATTAATCCGCATATGGACCAAAATTAAATCGATCACAAAATTAGTGTTCTTAAAATAGGCACGGTCTATCCCGGTCTGAAATATCACATGTTGACTATTCAGTGAGTCAATTTAACTCGGCTTATTTATTAACGGATCGAAAAACCGACCTCATCCACTATGGATTAATGGATTAAAGAGATTGACTCACTAACTCATTCAATTACAAAGTTTGTTTTTAATCTAAAAAAAGTACAATTTTTTTGTAATTCAAATTTAAATAATTTTACTTTAAAATGATGTTAAATTTTAAAGACAATTCAAAATAAAAAATTTAACATATAATTTAAATGTAATCCAAAAATAAACTCAAAAAAAAAAAAAGTTTATAATATTGGTAATTTTTGTGTTACTTATTTAGAGTCTTGAATGTATAAATTTATAATATTTTATTTTCTTTAAATATCTTTTGTTTTATTTTCATTTACAATATAATAAAAAGATGTTACTAATAATATTTAAATACAAAATAAAATATAATTAAATTAAATTAAGTAAATTTGTTAAAAAATTATAAGTTTTGACTAGAATGACATTTACATTGACATTAAATCCAACTATTATAAGTAATGAAAAAATTAAAATTGTGTTATGGAAAACATAAATTATGGCTAATTATTAGAGTCTCCTTCTCGATTATTCCACAACATTCTATGAATAATAATTGAACACACGTATATGAATGTGAGAAATATTTTCATTTCTTTTTTACTTTGAAATATGTTTTCTATGTGACCACATACCAACACTTTTTTTATGAGCTTGACTGTATGATGTTTATGCTCTATCTATCAATGAGAGTTGCTCCCTCCACCACCGCCAACCGCTCCTGCACCTCCCCATATCTTATTTGCCCTTCTATAAAACGGATGTCAACATCCGTTTCACCTTCAACGGATGTTGACATCCATTTACATATTTTATATTTTAGTTTATTATTTTTATTTAAAAGAAAAAAACTTCAACGGATGTGGTCACATCCGTTAACGGATGTGCCACATCCGTTTAATATATTTTTAAAAAGTTTTTTATTTATTATTTAAATAATAATATATAAATTTAAATAATTATTATTATTTTATTAAATAAAATAAAATTAATTTATAAATAATTAAATAATAATTTTTAAAAAATTAAATAATATTTATATATTAATTTAAAATATAAAAAATTAAAAAACTAAAAACTAAAAAACAAAAAAAAGCAACGGATGTGGCACATCCGTTTTAATATGTTTATAACAAATTTTTTAATTATTATTTAAATAATAATACATAAATTAAAAGTAATAATAATTATTTTATTAAATAAAATTAAATTAATTTATAAATAATTAAGTAATAATTTTAAAATAATTAAATTATATTTATATATTAATTTAAAACAAAAAAAATAAAAAAACTAAACTAGAAAACAAAAAAGTAACGGATGTCGCCACATCCGTTAACGGATGTGGCACATCCGTTTTAATATATTTATAATAAATTTTTTAATTATTATTTAAATAATAATACATAAATTAAAATTAATAATAATTATTTTATTAAATAAAATAAAATTAATTTATAAATAATTAAGTAATTATATTTATAACAAATTTTTTAATTATTATTTAAATAATAATACATAAATTAAAAGTAATAATAATTATTTTATTAAATAAAATAAAATTAATTTATAAATAATTAAGTAATAATTTTAAAATAATTAAATAATATTTATATATTAATTTAAAACAAAAAAAATAAAAAAACTAAAAACTAAAAAACAAAAAAAAGCAACGCGACATCATGTGGCACATCCGTTTTAATATGTTTATAATAAATTTTTTAATTATTATTTAAATAATAATACATAAATTAAAATTAATAATAATTATTTTATTAAATAAAATAAAATTAATTTATAAATAATTAAGTAATAATTTTAAAATAATTAAATAATATTTATATATTAATTTAAAAAAAATAAAAAAACTAAAAACTAAAAAACAAAAAAGGCAACGGATGTCGCCACATCCGTTAAGGGATGTTGCCACATCCGTTAACGGATGTCGCCACATCCGTTAACGGATGTAGCACGTTCGTGGAAGAATTTTTTCTTTAACGAATGTTGACATCCGTTGAAGAAAATGGGTGGGGGTGTAGAATATTTTAAACTATAAAGGATAGTTTTGGAATTTTAAAAAAATGTGGTAGTGCAGGGAACAAAGTGGGGTGGTGTAGGGAGTAAAACCCTCTATCAATACATCAACTACTAAAAAATGTTTGCATGATAGATATTGACATCGAAGCAAACACTCCCTTTAATTATTTAACAAAATTAACTCATTTGATAGATAATAACTTGGATGATATCTCATAATTACTATCTGACAAATTTTTACCTTAGAAATTATAAATTCATAAGTTAATTTATTATATTAAAAGTATGGTAAATCAAACTGACAAAATAATTAGCACATATAAAATGACATAAAATAATGTAATCATGTAAATTTTACAGCATAGATAAAGTTTGTGTTTTTTAGATAAAAATAAATTATTATACGATTGTAATCTTAAACTTTTTAATATTTCTACTTAGTTTTTAAAAGTTGTATACACTTGTTTTTATCTTGTTGTGTCATTTTATTTTTATTATGTTAATATAATGATCGTCAGTCAAATTTAACTTTTATTTACTTTTAGATTTTTATTCATTTCTGAATTTAAACTACTAATATATTAAATTATTTTTTTATAATTTTTATTGTGTGTAATTTTCAAGTAAAGCTTGATAAGTAAGAAATTTCAAATGTTTTTAGGTGTTCCATAAATATATTAAAGAATTCGAGTTAACATTGGAGTTTTCCCATATCTATTAGAGCAATGTCTACTTAGTATTATAATTATTATTTATAATGAAGTATAAATACAATTAGTATTTCTTTAAAAAATATTCACATAATATTTATTCAATATCTTATACTCATATTTATTCTACACTCTTAGCAAAAAGAACTTATTTATCTCTTACTTGAGCATAAAGTCTTTTACAGAAAAAACTTATCTAAGTAACAAAAAAATTTCACTCGGACGAGCTTTTAACAAAATAAATTACTTAAATAGTCATTGCATTGCAAATATTAAGAACTTCTCACTTTTGTTTAGATATTCCTCTCAATATATAAAGTATAATATGACAATATATAAAATATAATATAGTACGATGGCATAAAATAATAATATACTATAAATAATAAAAATGATAATTAATAATAAACTATTTTTGAGAAAATAAATAATATAAAAAATATCAATATTAATTAATAATATAGAACTAATTTATTTTACTTTTAATAATATAGTTTCAAAACATTATTTTTTTGTTCATTTGTCTTCAATCAAATAACAAATACTTTTGTTCTACTCTTTTAGGTATTTCTTTTCACCTATTTTCTCTGCATTTATATATATTTTTTTACATCAAACATACCATAAGAATATCAATCTCACTAAATGGGAAAAGACAAGTTTTTCAAAATGAAAAATAAGAAGGAAATGAATTTTTTTGAATGAAAAAAAATAATATCAGACGCTTATGTATACAACAATTTCCAATTTTTTTTCATATACTAACATAGCATAAATGTAAATACATTTTATTTATATGATTTTCCATTATTAAATTAAACAATAGTCAAAATTGTAAAATGGACTAAAATTCATATAATTAAATTTAGTTAAAAAAAGGAGTGTACAAAAATATTCCAAAATTTTAAGTAATTTTTAATAAAAACATAAGAAACATTTTTTTGCAATAATAATAACATTTGACTAAACCGAGTTATTATTAAGTTTATAACACCCAAGAGAAAAAACCCAGCCGAGTTAGAACATCCATAGTTATTGAAATTAATTTGATTTTGAAGATGTAACGTTCCAATTTGTATGTATAGACTCAATGGGTCCCACTAAAATCCTAGTC